GTTTTCATTTAGAAGATTTATTTGTGGATTTAAAGCTTACCCTGGAGCACTTGTGGCACGTATGTACTTAGCCACGGAGGTGCTCAGACATCAGCTTGGCGCCTGTTTTCCCTGGTACCACTGTGTGCCCAGCTCAGCAGGTGCTGACCTCCTGCTTGTAGATGTGCCCAGGGCTGGGACAGGTAGCGTCCGATGCCAGCTCATTGCTAGCGCTAGTCTTACAACATCAAGCATATTGCTTTGTGGTCAGCCTTTTTGTTTGTTAATCACAGATTACTGAACGAGAATTAAAACCAGGGGGTGCCAACATCCCAGTTACAGAGAAGAACAAGAAGGAGTACATTGAGAGGATGGTGAAGTGGAGGATTGAGAGGGGCGTCGTGCAGCAGACAGAAAGCCTGGTGCGCGGCTTCTATGAGGTAAGGGCCGCCAGCTGCAGTGCGGACCTCAGCTGAGCCCAGTGGGACCTGGGTCCGCCTCCCTCTGCTTCACATGTGTGTCGTATTCTCATTTCTCTTTTGCTATATTCACTGTTGCTAATTCAATTTAAACACTTCAATGATTTTTCCTATATGTTTCAAGAATACAAAAAAGAAAAAATTATTCCCCTGTTACAACAAATCATTGAAATAAAATGACCTGAATTCAAATAGCATTTGAGAGTTTAATGACCACTAATAACATTTAAGTCATGCATCTTACTCATGCTCAGATACGGGTAATCAGATCTCATGCCCGGTATGTGAAATGATAGTATCTGAGGGTCAGAATGAGTTGTTACAAGTATTTCATGTGACTTCTTTTGTGAAAAAGCCCACATAGCTAAAATAAAAATAAACTATGAAAATGACTGAAGCACTGAATCTTCTCCAAGAGAAAAAAAAAAGAACTAATTAGTGACCAATTATAAAACAAAAATGCTGTTGAAAATTTCATCAACCTTGTACTAAAAATACATCTGTAGAGAACTTCACAGTTTTAAAAGTGCCTGCACAGAACACATCCATGCATCCCCAACACTCCTTGTGCCCTTCTTTTCTGATGAAGTGTAATTGTGGCTGAGGCTTCTCCAGGTTCTTAAGCCATGTCCTGTATTCTTTTTATTCCTCAGGTTGTGGATGCCAGGCTGGTATCTGTTTTTGATGCACGAGAACTAGAACTGGTCATCGCAGGCACAGCTGAAATAGACCTGAGTGATTGGAGAAACAACACAGAATACAGAGGAGGTGAAATTTGACTTATAGGTGGCTGGATTTTAAGTTTCAGACTACAGGGAGGCAAGTGGTTCAGCACGTGGATCTGGATCCAGGACAGGCAGAGACACTTGCCCTCTAATCATAGGTCTGACGCACTCTCCTTTGAGACCGTGGGCAAGGTACATGCCCTGCTTCCCCTAGCTGTCTCATCTGTCAAGTGGAAGGAGGACTGTTTACGCACCATCTGAGGATGTCATAAGTCTTAATTGTTGGTGAAGAAATGTGACCATAGGAACAGTAATTAATTGTTGTATGGTGTTGTTAGTGAAGCATCAAGGAACTCATATCCAACTGGTTAAACTCCACCTATTCTGTCTTCATTCTCAAACCTGAAGAGGCACACCCTCTTAACTTCTTAATGAGCAAACATAGTTTTTCTACCTTTCACTTGAACTACTTACCAGTTGTAATTCACAGTTGAAACTCATGAATAGAATAAGATGCAGTTCTCAGATTTCAAATTTATTGAACAAGCCCTTTTAGAATTCAACCATTAGGTTCAACCAAAATGGAAACTGCTGTAAGATTAGCTTAAAACTGCATGCGTAAAAAAAAAAAAAACAAAAAAAACTGCATGCGTGCCCAGTATCTTCAATTATGTTTGACTCTTTGTGACCCTATAGACTGCAGCCCTCCAGGCTCCTCTGTCCATGGGATTTCCCAGGCAAGAATATTGGAGTGGGTTGCCATTCCCTCTTCCAGGGGATCTTTCCCACCCAGGGATCAAACCCACATCTCCTCCATCTCCTGCGTTGCAGGTGGATTCTTTTCTTCTGAGCCACTGGGGAAGCAGCTTAAAACTGGACACGTCACCAGATAGGAAGCTTTAGGGCTGGCATTCTATAGATCAGTACAAATTTTCAATTAGCAGTTGGCATTGAAGCCATTGTGATTTGATTGCTGTATCAGTACACTTGGAAAGGGACCTGATGCTAACCCAGAGTTATTTTTATTCAATACTTTCAAGCAAAGAACAAATACATTTTCTGAAATTTATTGTAGTGTTATTAAGTCTTCAGAAAGTCATGACAAAGGACAGTTGGGTTTTGCTTTTGTCTTTTAACTTAGAATGTAAGAGGTGAGCAGTAATTATGAACTTGGAGAGTGAAGAATACAAGCTTTAAGTCACTGAATTAATCACTTAGCAGACTAAAATTAGAGCTGAGCAGTTCTCCAGTTATTGGTAAATTGAAACAGAGATTTAAAGGAAAAAAACTTTAAAACTACGGAGTAAAAGTATACCTTAACATTGGCCCAGTTGCTTTTATTTTGACTTATGCTTGGCTCTTCCAGTCCATCACTTTTACCCTGGGCTGGCCTTGCCTGCCCATTTTCTCTGAAAGGCAGGATTAGACTGCAGTGTCCATTGCTGCTATTTCTGAAGTCCAGTTGCTGTAATAAGTCTTTACCAATCAGCCCTCTGTATAAGCCACATAGGCCTTGGCTGTTATAACTGTTAACTAAACCAGTTTCATTCACTAAAGTACAATTTCTCCAACATGCTATGTAACTCACGTGTTACCATAAATACTATTAGCTCGTTCTTTACCCACCACACGCACCCTCAGGAGATTCTAATAACATTCAATCACATCAGCCACTTTTCTGTTTACATAGGATAGACTTTTACTCTCTGTTTATGATGAACCAAGTACCTATTTCTTTGCTTATTGTCAATCGTATCAAATAAAATCCTTGGGAAGAGAGTGCTGGGGGGACGGAAGGGCAGGCAAAGGGCAAGATGTGCAGTGGCCGTGTTTGCTAACCCGGCTAGCTGGCACTGAACGAAGGGGCGGCTTTGTGCCGTTTGCCGTATGTTCACGGGCAGCTGTTTGTAGAGAATACCACAGGATACTTTCACTCCTCCTCCTTCTGTAAATGGTTTTGGCACAGACAGCAAAGGAGAGGCATAAAAGGGCCAGTTCAAAGGGTCAGAAAACTTTAAAGCTATAAAGAGCCAATGCACTTATTTTATAGATGACAAAACTCTTTTCTCAGCACCAAATAGCTAATCTTTGCCAAAGGCAGGACAATAAGCCTCTGGATTTCCGTGTCCATTAAGTCTTTACCAATCAGCCCTCTGTATAAGCCACATAGGCCTTGGCTGTTATAACTGTTAACTAAACCAGTTTCATTCACTAAAGTACAATTTCTCCAACATGCTATGTAACTCACGTGTTACCATAAATACTATTAGCTCGTTCTTTACCCACCACACTCACCCTCAGGAGATTCTAATAACATTCAATCACATCAGCCACTTTTCTGTTTACATAGGATAGACTTTTACTCTCTGTTTATGATGAATCAAGTACCTATTTCTTTGCTTATTGTCAATCTTATCAAATAAAATCCTTGGGAAGAGTGTGCTGGGGGGACGGAAGGGCAGGCAAAGGGCAAGATGTGCAGTGGCCGTGTTTGCTAACCCGGCTAGCTGGCATTGAACGAAGGGGCGGCTTTGTGCCGTTTGCCGTATGTTCACGGGCAGCTGTTTGTAGAGGATACCACAGGATACTTTCACTCCTCCTCCTTCTGTAAATGGTTTTGGCACAGACAGCAAAGGAGAGGCATAAAAGGGCCAGTTCAAAGGGTCAGAAAACTTTAAAGCTATAAAGAGCCAATGCACTTATTTTATAGATGACAAAACTCTTTTCTCAGCACCAAATAGCTAATCTTTGCCAAAGGCAGGACAATAAGCCTCTGGATTTCCGTGTCCAGTCTAGTTGTATTTACCCTTCATTTGGATCCCTTTCTTCTCCAAAGGGCATCACTGATCAAATGGTAAACAGTAAGGCAAGAGTCCCCTCAAAACCCACGTGAGGAAAAATTCGAAGGAAAATGGTTTCTACCCACCTTCCCTTCAGGACTCACTGCTGCTGACTCAGAATTAGAGCTGCTCTCTGCACACCTGGATATGTCAGTCAGCTGGTCTGAATCACTAACTGTGCCGTAATCTTTGTCAAGCTTCTCTCTGAACTTAATTTTTCTCCACTGAGGTTTTAGAATCCACTGCTACTCCCTTAATCCTCCTGTGGGATGACACTGTTGACATTTTATTAAATTCTACTACAGTGTGGAATAAAAGTAACATTTAGGTTGATGATTATTTGAAATTTACATGTTGAAAGAATGAAAGTAGTATAATTATTTTCCCTTTTTGTTAACAAAAAGTAATTTGATTTTAAAATATCAACATTATATATAGTTCTAAAATAGTTTGCAATATATGTTTATTTGTATAATTATTTGATTTATGTCTCTCTCCTTTACCAGAAGCCCTGTGAGGGTCTATTTTCTTTGCTATTGTACCCTCAACCCTCAGACGTAGTACAGTGCTTGGCATAGTGGTTTGTTATTCAGCACACAGTTGTGTCCAGCTCTTTGTGACCTCGTGGAATGCAGCATGCAAGGCTTCCCTGTCTTTCACTAACTCCCGGAGTTTGCTCAGACTCCTGTAGAAAATTATTTCTTGAATGAACGAAAGGTTCAAGCATTTCCAAAACCAGCAACTATATTTTTCAAAAATGGTATGGTTAACGATAACTCACTTGTTCTCTCTGCTAGCTTCATTTAGTGACCTCTAAATGGAAACAGATTTCTTGGTTCCATTTAGTGTTTTGTTTTACTTTTGACACTCATGTGATCACATTAACAGTATTATTCCTTGGTCTAAAATTGTAAATAACCTTTAACGAATCCAAGATGACAATTTATGTCTGGGAGTCTTTTGTTGACATGCCAGTGTCATAGTGACATAAGATAGAAAACTCTAATACTGGCTTTCATGATTGGTTTGATAGGATATCATGACAATCACATTGTAATTCGGTGGTTCTGGGCTGCAGTGGAAAGATTCAACAATGAACAACGACTGAGGTTGTTACAGGTAAGATGCCTGTAGTTAATCTTTTTAATGCATTAATTATTGTTGGAATTTCATATTTTTAATAATAGCTAGCTATACTCAGTAAATATATCCCATGTTTATCTGCATATTCTGAGTACACTGTTTCCAGACTCTTCTGATTGCATGGTTCTTTGGTTCCATCACTATGCAGAACATCTCTAACTAGTCCAAGCATCTCATTAGAGCTGTGAGGAAGTACCAATTGCCATCCAAGAGTCCTCAGAACAACATCTGCCTTCAGGGCACTTTGATCGCTTCATCAAGAGGCCCTCCAAGTTTTCTGCAGGCCAGCATCTCTGCAACAGAAACAGATAATCTTCAGTCTCCTTTATCAAGAAATATCCAGTTCCTTGATAGAGAGTCCCTTCTTTTCTTCCATCTAACTTTCCACAAATTTGAGATAACATTGAAGTTTAAGAATACTGGGAAAACAAACTCATTATTTTCTTATGGTGTTATACACGGCAATTGTTTGTTAGTTGCAGCTAAAGAAATATCAGACATGAGGAAGCCTTTTGTTTGCTTAGACAAAATCTTATAAGTAGGCTGGATCTTAGCTCCTTTGGATTACAGATCTGAGTCTCAAATTTGCAGGCCTAGAAGTTCTTTTTGTTTTTCATTCACCTCAAATTGATCAAGGACTGATGCTAAGTAGACTTAGGTTAATTGACATGTCCACTTTATTAATCTCTAGTGGAAAGTATGCGTGGTTTAAGCTTCTAAGTTAAAGGATGTATAGGATGCTGTATTTCCTACAAACCATCCATATTGCCTTTCCCTTTTTAATGCACGGTCCTTCCTTGGGATTCTCCAGCTCTTAGTCAGAATTCGCACATTATGGTTATTCTGTCTATGTTATATAGACATATATGTTTTATCTTCTGAGCTTTACCACCAGTGAGCAGTATGCTGTTCTTCCCCAGGACCTCTGTATATGAATGCTGCCAGCCTTTTCTAGAGACTGGTCTCTTGGCTTCACCTTCTCCTTCTGTTTTCTTGGGTTGATAGTTCGTTACAGGCACATCCAGCATTCCCTATGAAGGATTTGCTTCTCTCCGAGGCAGTAATGGCCCAAGAAGATTCTGTGTGGAGAAATGGGGGAAAATCACTGCTCTTCCCAGGTAAAGCAGAAAACATTTCTGTACTGTCACTACAGTGCTCTAGGGGGGAACTTCAGCTTAAGTGTATGTTGATTTATTGCTGTTTCTATGTTGAAAGTTTAGAAGAGTGGAAAAAGCTTTTAGAATGAATTGATCTTGGATTACCTTTCTAAGTGATGGACAGAAAGATATTCCTGATCGCATGTGAAGTACATACATACATATCTTAAAATACAAAACACAACAGAACCAAAGCATCTGTTAGTGATTGGAGAAGCAATGTTGGTCACACTGGTGGCTCTGTTTCAGAAGCTCTAGTTTTAAGTTTATCATTGGTAACTATTTTGAATCACTTCACTAAAAATGACCATTGTGGTTTCTAAGGAAAATTAAATCATGTAAATATGCCTCTTCAATCTATCATACATGCCTTTCCTACCTTGTGAATGCTCTCTGCATTGTATTCTCATACGTAATAAAATGATATATTTCCTTGAGTGGAAAAAAATAGCTTTTCTGCTGCTGCTAATAAATCTAAGAGACTTGTAAGGCAGCATCTGTGAATAAAAAAACTGGGTTGAATGAAGCAAACTGGAACTGAAGCAGAAGAAAAGCAGGGAGCAAATAAAGAGGAACAGAGAAGAGCTAGTTTCAGAACTCCTTTATCAATCAGCAGTAATATATTGAATTTTTGAGTAAAAAGGATTTCAGATTGCCTTTCATTTTACTGATAATAAAACTGCATTCTGGGGAGGTTAAATCTTCCCAAGTGATACTAAGTTCCCCATGATGTTATCCTGAGTTTGAGTACAGTCACCCATCTGTATCCATGAGTTCTGCATCTACAGATTCAGCCAACCACAGATTCCCAACAACTGCAGGTCAAAAATACTTTTTTGAAAAGTTTCCAGAAAGTTACAGAAAACAAAACTTGAGTTTGCTACATGTGGAAACTGTTACTTAGCATTTACATTGTCCTAGTATTTCAAGCAATCTAGAGATGACTTGCTTCCCAGATGACTCAGTGGTAAGGAATCTGCCTGCCAGTGCAGGAGATGCAAGAGACGTGGGTTCTTCCCTGGGTTGGGAAGATCTCCTGGAGGAGGAAATGGCAACCCACCCCAGTATTCTTGCCTGGAAAACTCCATGGACAGGAGAGCCTGGCATGCTACAGTCCATGGAGTCACAAAGAGTCATATACAACTGAACACAAGATAATATAAAGTATACTACAGATTCCCAACAACTGCAGGTCAAAAATACTTTTTTGAAAAGTTTCCAGAAAGTTACAGAAAACAAAACTTGAGTTTGCTACATGTGGAAACTATTACTTAGCATTTACATTGTGCTAGTATTTCAAGCAATCTAGAGATGACTTGCTTCCCAGATGACTCAGTGGTAAGGAATCTGCCTGCCAGTGCAGGAGATGCAGGAGACGTGGGTTCTTCGCTGGGTTGGGAAGATCTCCTGGAGGAGGAAATGGCAACCCACCCCAGTATTCTTGCCTGGAAAACTCCATGGACAGGAGAGCCTGGCATGCTACAGTCCATGGAGTCACAAAGAGTCATATACAACTGAACACAAGATAATTTAAAGTATACAGGAAGATGTGCATAGGTTAGAGGCAAATAATATGCCATTTTATATTTGAGCATCCACGGATTTTGGTATCTCTGAGAGAGTTCTGGAACCATCCCCTGAGGATACCAAGACAACTATACAGATGACTTTGAGAAACTTGTTAAGAAGACTGACTTCTTAGCAGTTGTAAGGCACTGGTTTTTAAGAATAGCGTTCTAAGTATAAATATGTAAAAAGGTGGTGCTGAAAATACAGAGAGCAATGAATAGAGCTCACTCAGGGCTGACCTGAGTCACCTCTTTGGGTCCATCTCACACAAACATCTAAGTATTCGCTGGCTGACTTGGTGCTCCAAATGTAAGAGATTTAATTTCATTATTTAAAGAAGAATTTTATTTTATTTTCCTTATGTCTGAAACATGCCTTTTCACCCTTAAACCACATTTGCAACACAAAAGCAGATTTACACTCTGAGTAGGACCTTTCACCTTTCTGAGAAACTCAAGGATGCTTTAAAGAGGCAAGAAAGGACAGATGAATTGTGTTCTTTCAAGATTTACTTTTGTAAAGTAGATGGAATAAACTGTAATAGTAGGCAGATATATCAGCTGTTTTTATTTAATCACTGAAATTTTCACCAAACCTGATGAGCAGAGAAAGGCAATTTGGTGTAAACAACAAACTTTGGCTCCAGAGAGACTAAGCTCTACCCCAGTTCTGTTACTTGCCTGCAGTGTAGTCTTGGAGAAGTTACTTAATCTTTCTGAACCTTTGTTTCCTCATCTACATTGTAGGTCGGTAATTCTGAAGATTAAATGAAATCATGCATATAAGACATTTACTGCTGACCCTGGCCCAGCTGATGATGGCTGCAATTATGATTTCTGCCATCATCATCTGTAATATATGTCAGGCTGCAGCTTATTGGAAAGAGCACAGGGTTGGAAGTTAGAAGATCTGGAGTTTTGGGGAGGTTGGGATTTCTTGCCCACCTCTGCCACCAGCTGACTCTGGGACCAGAAAAGACCACTTGATCTCTCAGCCTCTGTTTCTCCACCTTTAAATGGCCAGGGAAGGGGTGGTCTGTTAGGTTCAGTTCATCAATAAGTAACACTGACAGGTTGCTGAAGAATCTTGGGGGTCAGGCCATGTTCACTTGTCGACTTCCCCAGGAGCTCCAGGAAGTTCATATACCTGACTCATCATAAATGGTGGGGCTCTTCATAGCATTGCACACATGCAGTTGGGCAACAGGCTTTGTTGTTTCTTCCTTTCTGCCTTGTGACCTGAGGCTCTAGGTTCTAGATTCCAGTTCTACCCAGATTGTAAAAGTCATACAGAAAGATGATATGAGGCACATCAGGCAAGCAGACCATTTTCATACCTTGCCTGTAACAGGCTCTAATGTTTTAGGTCCGGTGGGAGGAAAGAGCTACTTGACTATTCTGCTTCACCAGTTCATCAATTTACATAGCCTTGTTAGGAGATAGGAGTGCAGATTTAAGCACTTTGATACACTAGCTATGTGATCCTAAGAGCCTGGATCCATCTCTGAAGAGTAGAAAGAACAATGCCATGCTCAAGGAGTATTTGTGTCAAGTGAGTGAGAATAATGTGCATGAAATTACTTAAGGATAGTATGTTTTCTTTGTTCTTTTAAACCTTTTATTATGATTCTTCTGGGAGCCACCGTACTGCTGAATCTATTAAAATTTGCTTCACAAAAGTGGTGCACTGGAAGAAAAACATAAAAGGAGAACTTCAGCGCGTGACCATATAGTTTTATCAGGAGTGATTTCTTCACTGATAACTGTCATCATGAAATGTGGCGTGTTAAGTGCCAAAAAGATCTGTAAGATTGGCTCTGGTCTAAAGAGATGGTGTATATGACTGAGTCCATTTTTCCCTACACCAGATACACTAAAGCCATCATTCTTGCAGTTTCCTACTAAGTTTTAAGTTGTAGAACTAAAAAACTGGTCTGTACCAAGCTATTCAACCCCAATGTATTTCTTTTTCTTATTTGTGAGATGATGTCTAACATTCAAAATGTGACATTGTACACACTGGATACAAAAATGAATGGATATACTTCTTAAAATGTGTTTTCCCTAGGAAGTCTGGCATCATCTTGTGTCAAGTAGGGGAGGCCGCACCCTGGAGAAGTGGTAGTGGAAGTGGCTGTAAAGGTTGAGGACAGACAGTCCCAGCAGAAGGGAGGGCATCTTATTCTAGACATGGATGATTGAGGGCCTTTCAGCCTTTCAAGGAAGCAAATGAGTTTCATTCTTTTCTCAGACTTCCTAGTCCTCATTGCAGTAGCAGTAAATAATGCTACTCACAACATGGGCCAAGAAGTGTATTAAAGTATATAGGGGTGTCTCTGAAGCCAGAGCAAGTTGAATCCGTGGCTGTCTTTTTCTGTCTTTTGGTAATAAAGCAACTAGAGACCAGATGGTAAATAATGATGGAGGCAGGCCGGTGTGTCTGTGGAGGCGTCTGACTTGAACACATTACTGCCCTTCCTCTGCTTCCTGGTTGGTAGTTAGCTCTGTATTTTGCATTTCTGTAGATTTCCTGTCCCCTGTGCCCTGATGGGCTTAGGAGACTGTAAATTCACTTTATGGCAAATGCTCTCTTAAACGTTCTGAAAAACAGGCTGCTCGCATACCTGCAGGAAAATGCAGGTCAGATCCTCTTTCCCAGGGTGGTATAGACTTTATGTGTTCTTCCCAGAGGCTCTTGCCCAGTAGGACGGTGGGAGAGGGCGGTGGGAGAGCTGCTGTCATAATGGGGCAGTGTTGGTTTTGCCAAAGGAGGGAAACACTCATTTTAGAAAATGCCTGTGTCTGGAGATGATTATAAATGCAATTCTGACCCAAATTTAGGCAAGAATACTGGAGTGGATAGCCATTCCTTTCTCCAGGGGATCTTCCCAACCCAGGGCTTGAACCTGGGTCTCCCGCATTGCAGGCAGATTCTTTACCATCTGAACCACCAGGGAAGACCCATATAAAGAAAAATTTTCACAAAAATGCCAAGAAGTTAAAAATTAAAAGATGGGTATATAATATAAACACATATATAGTAATATATAATAAAATACATAATAAAAATTAGTATGTATTATAGTATATCATGTAATATAATTAATAAATATTATAGTAATATATAATAAAATATATAAAGTCCACTACTGAGATAACCTCTAAACATACTTCTACTCATTTGTACACAACATACACATCATGCATGACACACATTTAAAAACAAGATACAATCAGAGCATATATACTGTTTATGACCTGCTTTTTGTTCACCAAATAT